ATATATATATATATATATATATATATATTTATTTATTTATATATGTATATGTGTATTTATATGTATATATATTAATTTAAATAAATTATTTAATTTAATTTGTTTGAAATGATGATGTGGTATAATTATGATGATGTGTGTATGATTTGTAAGTTATGTCATTTGTCATATCATTATCGTTGTTTGAGTTGGTAGATTTGAAGAGTTTTCGGTGAATTTTTAAAGTTCGGTGTTTTATGAGTTAATCACACCCGGTATAGGGTTTGATTGTTAATAATAAATGGTTTTGAAATATAAGTGTATCAAATAAAAATTTCAATATATAAAAATGAGATTAAAATAGATTTTTCATGTATAAAAATTATTGTTAATTTAATTATATACAAATATATAAAAGTCTTTATTATAATAACTTAGAATTTGATTAATAATACTAATGATATGTTAATGTAGATTTTTATAAAAAAAATAGGTAAAATATACCACAATATTTTAAATCTCTTTACTTATACAATAGATTTGATTTCGAATTCAAATATCTCATATATACATATCCATTTTTTTTTTTATCCTTATTGTATATTTAGAAGTCTATCGTAAATTTTTAAAAAAAATTATGTGCCTCATGAGGTCATTTTGATTAATTATCGAATAATTGGATAGATATGAATCAAATAACAAATAATTCTAAACGTGGAATCTAATATTAAAAATTATACAGTTACATTATCTCTAAAAACAAAGAAACTGAACACAAATCGAATAAAAAATAACTAAAATAACTCGAGAAGTTTGTTAAAATAAATATATTTTTCAATTAAATAGATCCGAATCAAAAGAAAACAGAAACAAATTCTATATAAAAAAATCAAACAATCATAATTTTTCTGAGGGATAATTCCAAAAAAAATCCCAAATTTGGTGAAATGTATCAAAATAATACCTCAATTTCTAATTTGACAAATAAAAACCTCAATTTGGACGATCTTGACGAATTAATAGCTAAGACATGACGCCGTTAAACAATCGTTTAATTTTGGTGACATGGCTTCGAAATGTGATTAAAAAATCGAAAATCCCCAAATTGCTCTCCCTCCGTGTTCGATTTCCCCTCCCGTATCTCCGGCGACATGTTTAGGGGTATGAAGAGATTGACCAGAGTGATGTTCCGGAGAGTGGAGAAGTTCTGTGGGATCTCTATGGTTAGTTGGTTGGAGGATAAATCCAGGGATTTCAGATTCACCATTCCAGAAAAGCTTCGGCAGAATTTTTCCGGTGAGATTGTTGAACTGAAGAAACAAAGTATGCAGACACGTCAGATTTCCCAGACTTGCTGGTATATCACCGATGAGGTTACAGCTCGGCGTTTCGCCGGAGAGGTCGTTAGCATAGACACCGAGAAACTCTAAGCTCCGGAATATGTCCCCCGAAGAAATTTCCGCTAAGACAGAGCACTTCTAGCTCCGTCATCCCGTGAGACTATCGTCGGTAAAGTTCCCGGTGAGGTTGCCATTGTTCGACACATTGACGACCTTCAGAGCGGTGAACTTCAAGGCAATCTACCGGTTTTAGGGCTTTTGACTTTAGGGTTTTCAATATGGGATCAAGTGACCGGTTTAGATTATTTTGGTTGACTTCGGTTTTAAATATGGTTAAAATTGCCTATGTCCTTTGACTTGGCAATTTTTAATCACATTCGAAAGCCATATCAGCAAAACTAAACGTTCGTTTTAATGGCGTCATGTTTTAGGTATTCATTTGTCAAAATTGTCGAAATTGAGTATTTTATTTGTTAAACTAAAAATTGAGGTATTATTTTGGTACATTACACCAAATTGGAGATTTTTTTTGGAATTATCCCTTTTTCTGACGATGAAATACGCGAGAAGAATCCGAACCGAAGTAAAAGAAAATGGCCATCAATCAGCTGTCCAAACTGACACCAATCTGCCCTGCAAGAAACAAAGTTGAATCACGGGGGAAGAACATTCCAAAAACCCAAAAAAAACGAAGAAGGAGAAATGCTCTGGCTTGCATTTCTTCTTCGAGCACTGCTCTCTCTTCAAAAACCCTAAAGAAAAAGAGCAAAATATGCAAGGATGGGTACCTGAAACGGAGTCTCAAGGGGAAGAATTGCAGAATAAGCTCACTCTCCTCTCCAATGGCGGTCTCTAGCATGATTCCCGCCATTTCTGCTCTCTTCGCCTTCTCTTTTCTCCATCTTTTGTTTTCTGGTGAGTTTATTCACTCCCCCCTCCCCCCCCGAATTTCTGAATCTTCAATGCCTCAGTGGGAACCAAGTTTGCACCATAGGTCAACAACCGTGTGAATTCTGCTTCATACTCTCGGATTGTCATGTTTCCTTGCTGAAGTTGGATGAACTCAGCAAGTCGATGATGTTGGCAGACAACCTGAACTCTAACCAAATATTCCCATGGACTTTTAGTTGTAATTTTTACAAAGTTGAAGTTTTTGGAAACACCCATTTCTTAGTTTGGAAGTTTATTTCAATGTAATTAATTTGTAGTTGTTATTTTTGGTAATAAACCAAAATCTAGAGAGAGAAAAAATGGCAAGTTCAAGCCCCAGGCAAAGTTCTTCACTTTGGTATTGTAATCAAACAGAACAAATGCAGCTTGGCAATGTATGTTCTTGAGATTCGTAACTCGAAATTTTCCTTTTCTTTTTGCAAATTTTGGCAGTAAATTCATCATCTTTGTCACAAGAGATTATTAAACAGCAAGAGCAGGAGAAAGATCCCTTTGTTGGGTTCAACATTGGCACTGATGTCTCCAATCTGTTGTCTCCGACAGAATTGCTTCGGTTCTTGCAGGCTCAGAAGATAAACCATGTCCGTTTATATGATGCTGATCCTGATTTGCTCAGAGCATTTGCCAAAACCAAGATCCGGGTTATCATCAGCGTGCCCAATAACCAGCTTCTAGCAATTGGATCCTCGAACAGCACTGCTGCATCCTGGATCGATCGCAATGTCGTTGCTTATTATCCCGAAACCCTAATAACAGCCATTGCTGTTGGAGATGAGGTTTTGACAACAGTCCCTTCTTCTGCTACTTTGCTGCTACCTGCAATTGAGTCTCTGTACAGTGCTCTGGTTGCTGCAAATCTCCATAACCTGATCAAGATTTCTACACCACATTCGTTTTCTATCATGCTCAATACATTCCCGCCATCACAAGCATCATTTAACCAGAGCTGGAACTCGGTTATGGTTCCACTGCTTCAGTTTTTGTCGAGAACAGGTTCTCCTCTGATGATGAATCTGTATCCTTACTATGTGTTTATGCAGAACAAAGGCGTGGTTCCGCTCGATAATTGTTTATTCAAGCCCTTGACACCCTCTAAGGAAATGGTCGATCCGAACACTTTACTGCATTACACGAACGTGCTGGATGCCATGATCGATGCTGCTTATGTCTCGATGAGAAACCTTAACGTGACAGATGTAGTTGTTCTCGTGTCTGAAAGTGGGTGGCCCTCGAAAGGAGATGCTAAAGAGCCATACGCCACTATTGACAATGCTGATATGTATAACTCCCATCTGATCAAGCACATCTTTGATAGAACTGGCACCCCTTTACACCCGGAAATGACATCAAGTGTTTACATATACGAGTTGTTCAACGAAGATTTACGGGCTCCTCCATTGAGTGAAGCTAATTGGGGTTTGTTCTACGGGAATTCCACTCCAGCTTATCTGCTTCATGTATCGGGAAGCGGAACTTTCCTGGCGAATGATACGACCAACCAGACGTATTGCACTGCAATGGATGGTCCTGACAAGAAGGCACTTCAGGCTGCACTTGATTGGGCTTGTGGTCCGGGAAGGGCTAACTGTAGCGAGATTCAGCCCGGGGAGAGTTGTTATCAGCCGAATAACGTAAAGAGCCATGCCTCTTACGCTTTTGATAGCTATTACCAGAAGGAAGGAAAAGATCCCGGTTCTTGTGACTTCAAGGGTGTGGCAATGATCACGACCACAGACCCAAGTAAGTTATTCTCGTTAGTACTTCGAATACTATACGTAAAACAGATAGTTTATTCTCGGGGGCATGATCTACCCGAGCAGAGATTCCTTCTGAAAATGGCTTGTACCTTCTCATTCATCTTCATTGCATTCTTTCATTTCCTCGCCTGGTTCATCGGTATGATGCTTATTGTAACATATGCCAAGAAAATGGTTACAACAAATGCAATAAAGACTAAACCAAAATGCAGGATAGAAGTGATAGCCTCTAAGAGTTCAAGACTTCATTTCTGAATCCTGGGGCTGTCTGTGTTCTTTGCAGGTCACGGAAGCTGTATTTTTCCAGGAAGGTGAGAAGAAGAAAAAAACTTGCTTTCTTGAATCTCCTCGGCTCGGGAAATGAACGAAATTTCGCATTTTTTTTGCAGCAAGAAGGTCGGGAACGAGACGAGGACGGAAGTGAACTCGAGGCAAGCTCCGACCGGAGGAGTTCCGGCGAATCTCTCCGGAGGCTGCTTTAGTCTTATGGCTCTTCTAACTTTGTATGTGTTTTTTTGTTTACCTTTGTGCTGATTTTCCAAAGGTAAATTAGTATTGTTTTTTCCTTACTGTTTTACGGTGATTGTTTTTTTAGACAAAATACGAAATTTATTTTCCACGTGTGCATCATGTATTGGGTGTAAACATGTATTGTCATGAATAAAACTGGTCTGATTTTTTAATGTTTTATTTAGGAAAGGATTGGTTCTGGTTGGGTTCGGTCGGTTATATTCAAATTCGTGGTAAAAAAAAAACTATCTATTCGTATTCATATTCATTTCTATTTCTGTTCAAATTCGCATTTTTTATATAAATATTCGGTTTTCAAAGAATTTTATTTTTATTTTATTCATTCTAATTTGGATGCGTTTATTTTATTTTTAGACGAATCATAATCATTTAGTTCGAATAACCGAATCAGTGACCCCTACACGTAGGAATATTCATTATGGTTTTGGTTTTGGTTTGGGTACAATTATTTCTAATTTATATTTATATTTTTTCAATTTTAGAAATATTATATTCGATCATTTTTCATATATATAATTCAAATCGATTTTTAATTTAGATTTGGGAAAATGATAAACTTTGATGAAACTATTGAAAGCATGACGTTTCGATTTTGGTGTCGGAAAGTTACCACATATTCTCTGGACCAAAGTGAGGCCAAGTCTTATATACAACAAAAAGGGAAAAGAAAAAAAAGATTTGGACTTTCCTTTACAAGAGGAGAAAAAGGGCAAAGCTTGCCATAAAAGAGAATCCACGGCATTATGGTAAATGGTATTCGAAACTAACCAAAGCAAAAATCTTTCTGGGTATGATTTCTGTATTCACATGGTATGGCCATGAACGCTGTTTTCTGCCTATACGACGCCTTTATCCATCGGATAACACCCGAGAACACGGATGAATCTGGCTAGCTCCTGCGGGAACGGAAAAAAGGCGCAAAAATCAATTCAAGATTCGCGAGAGAAGAATCAGTTCTCTCGGGGTTTAACCTGTAGATGGCCGAGGGCATGTTGGGCACGAGGCTCAGCCATGGAAGCTTCGAAATCAATGTAGAAAAGGTATTCAAAGCACCTATCACTCGCCCGAAAACATATCATTAGTTTCCCTGGCCACGGCCGAGTAATCTTCGGACATATATATTCCTATTCCGAACCCAATTTGTTTCATCATTAAGCCACTCTCAGTACAAATAAAATGGATCGAGTTATCGTTATAAAGAAGGGAAAATCTCATATAAGTACACAAATTTGTTACCAACTCCTAAACTAATACACAAACTTTTAACTTTTTGAAGAAATTACACGACCCTTTTCCGACTCCTATTAAATCCATGAATTTAACAAGGATTCCCAAAAAACTACACGTCAAATGTCGCGTATTTATCCGAAAATATTAATTTGGGAGTTGATAACAAAGTTCGTGTATTTATACGAGATTTTCTCTAATAAAAAGTACCTCATTTGCATTAAAAATGGACAGAAACTTACTTGGCACTTCCATTGTTAGAACTATCAACTACTCTTAGAGGTCGCCGCCTTTGTGGACGACTCTCCATCTGTAACAAGAGAAGGAAAAGGAAAACAATAGAGAGGACCTTAATATCACTACATATTTGATAATATAGAAACCGATGTTCATAGTAATCATACGTTATCATTAAGAACAGGGCCTAAATGTTTAATAATAATCATCAACTTGCTTTCCTATATTTGAAATTCAAAAGCTTTTTTTTTCCCGGAACTTGTTACCTTTGATAAGTTAATGTTCCTCAGAGCAAATACGGCCAAGGCCTTGAACAGCTCGCCTGGACCTTCTTCTAGAGAGAAAACTATACTTGTCTGAATCAAACAGTAAAAAACAATTTACAGTTTGGTAAGTTTTATAAGCTAGAAATCAATCGAACAGTAAATTCGACATGCTAATTGTTTTTCTGTTTTACCTTATAGGGTCGATCGGTTCTTGGGATTGTAGGGTCTCTTGCGAGTATAAGGAAACGGGTCACGTTGTTAGCGTCATCCTAAACGAGCATACGTAGAAAAAACCCAATGCAGAAGATTGTGAGTTTTAATATGAAGAGGATGTCAAGTAATTCAGTTCTTTCCTTAAATTTGAATTCTTTAACGGTGCATAATCCGCAGGACGAATTGATGGTTGAAAATTTACGGATTTACCTGCATGTTTTCAGCAAGAATATCGAGACCGTATATTCCTGCAGCTCGTAAACTAGCTATTGCTCCTGTGTCCTTCTCGCCACTTGAAGACACGGTCTGAAAACATGTTTTAATGTAGAAACTATATTGATCTCTCGCAAAAGAAAACCCGAAAATATAGAATCGTTGGATCGAAGGCAAACACCTGAGCAGCGGTGGCAGTGTCTACTGAAGTAATTCTATGCACCCCTAAGTTGCCAAGTGTATTCTCGCATTGAGAAAGTGCCTGAAGGAAAACCCGTTAATCAGTCGTTAATAAAAACTTCAGATTATTGAAATACGAGGTGTCGAGGTCGTTAATAAAAAGAACGACGAGAAGAAGAAGAAGAAGAACCTGAGGGTGGCTTAGAACGCGTTTAAGGTCCTCCTTTTTAACGCCGGGCAATGCCAAGAGGCAATGGTTAACGGGCAATTGGACTTCCTGGACAATGTGTAGTCTATGACGGAGAAGCAAATCATAGTTTCTGTGGATACTTCCGCCGACTGAATTCTCGATTGGAAGCACGGCTTTATCCACCAACCATAGTTCAACTGCCTGAAGAATCATGAAAACGTAAAAGGATGAATCCACCAACCATATTTTCATCTATATTTCTATAACGGTGGAAATACTATGTACGTATCGTACGGTTTAGAAATGCATTCTTTCCTTGCAGGATCTTCGATCATAACATGCCAATCAACTCCCTATGGATTTGTTCCCTATAACTGCATCATTTTGTTTTCATGGTTCTCCTTCTGTAGAAGTTTTCTAGTCCATCTTCATGGTTTTTCATATTTTGGATATGTTCGAATGCATTCGGTTTCATCCCGCGTAAAAACCTTAACATTTTTAATACGTTTTACATTTCCTTAAAAAAGAAAAAGAGACTCTGCATGCTCTAAGACCAACGAGGGAATGAGCAATAATACGGTGACATAAAATCGAAACCTGGAATGCGGTTTCAAACTGTTCACATGGTACAGTTTTGCAGTTTGGATAAGCTTTCAGTGCTGCTGTCTGGCTATAAGCACCCGGTATGCCCTGATATTGGAATACAAAGCGTATGAAAGAAAGGGCAAATACCTGAAGAAATGGAAGGAAGGTAAAGTAGTAATTTACTTACCTGATAAGCAACTCGGACTTTCGCATTGTCATTGGGAGAAGAGTGAAGGCTGGACGCAGTTAAGGGCTCTGTAATCGGTTTAGATGATAGGGTTAGGTTAGTAATGAGAGAAGATGAAAGAAAACGGAGATCGATACAAACGATGATATGTTATTGTTATATATGAAACGGGACTTGAAAGCGAAATGAAACAATGATACAACACGACAAGAAAAGATCGAACCTAAACTATGATGGCATAGAGAACCATTAGAGATTCGTAGATTACATGAAAAAGCCATTAAATTCTTGGAATCATGCGGGAAATGCATCTCAAGGATAATGACCGGGAACAGAGTGGATAAAGCCGCGATCATATGGCTTGACATATACACAGGGTTCAACACAATTCTGTCTGAAAATAGCCTACAACAGCCAAGATACTATTAGAAGCTATACTATAACACGATCATCAGCCCTTGCAATGTCTTGTACGCATCAAATTTATTGATACTGACGTGAAATGGCCGGAGAAAACAAATACATACTCAGTTAACTCAGATGAACAGAAAGCCTTTGTAGTTGTTGTATTATCCACACGATCCAAAAGCATGTACAGTAGTGAAAAACTCAAGAACAAACACGTAGACAGCACAAGGATCAGCCATGGTGATCATAATTCAGACAAACAAAGCCCTAAAGACATGATCTTGGACGATAGAATCACCAGAACAACCCCTCAGCATTTCCGCTTAAATTCCATCAGACGGCCAAACGGGCAAATTCAAAACACCATCAATGGCAGCAGTAGAACAGAGAACGAGATGACTCACTGGGGAGCATACTCAAGTCCTTGTGAAAGGTCAAAGACTCGGTTTTCTGACTCGGAACGATTCCACCAGGGGACTCCCCGAGTTCATGGCCGTACGGTCTGTCGTCTTCAACGGCAGTGACGGCTCTCTGGGCGGAGCATTTACACGTGAGGTCGAAACGGAAGCGTTTCGGGTTGAAATCGGAGAGACCCATATGAGAATGGTGCGTTGGGGGCAAAATCGAGATGGAGAGACATCGCAGAGCCATTGAAAGCTGCGATTTTTTTTCTAGTTTTGGTCGGAGAAATCGGCAATGTGACAGAGAAATTTGGCGAATTAGGTCAAAGGAAGTCTCATGGGAAATGGGTTGGTGAGAACTTTTCAGTATCAGAGCGATAATGTCAAGGAGAAAGACTGAAATTTGGAGGTCGGGGAGACGATGAAGCAAGATTCTCAGTTATATACGCGCACACACACATACACACACACACACATTAACTGTGTGTAAATATATGTCTGTGTGCGCATGAGTAATTTATTAGATATCGATGAACAAATGCATTGTTCGTAGTTTATATTGGAAATAAATACTTATCTAGTGAACTTCTCCTTGATTCAATTTTGGATTCGATGGTAATTGGTTAATCATATTCTTTGTCTAAAATATTTGATATTTTAGATAAATTTCTTATATTTATAAAATAATTTAAATAATTTTTATATTCATAATAAATACTTTTCTTATGTTCAAACATTATTAACTATTAATTATAATATTTAAATCCATAATTTTTACAATGTTATATATCTTGGATGGGAGAAATATATGACTAATAAAATTCACAAAAAATAATATTAACAATGTAAATAAATTATTTCACTGAATTATATCCACATCATATAAAAGAATGATGGCAAAAAGATTCAATAATAGAAAGATCAATTTCTCCGCATAAACTCTATCTCGTATTTCGCATCTAGAATTTCAAAAATGATTTGATAATACTTTTCTCCAGCCGATAACTGTTAATGGATTTATATTAATACAAATGCTAATTAAAAAATGCCATGTTATTAATTGAAACAGCGGTTATATAATATAAGAGAATCAATTGGCCTGACCCTGATTTCGGAAGAACTGTACTTCAGATTCTTTCTTGGGTGGGAAACTTTTTCAAACAGTTGGCCACTTATCCATTTTAATCCATTTTTTAAAAAGAAAAAAATATTTTAAAATTCTGAATTCGTAATTTGTAATTTGGTTTAATATTAATTCTTTAATTTGTAGGTGTACATATTTATTTCCGAATTTATATTTTTGAATACAATAATTCTTAAACTTGTATTTTTTAACACAATAATTCCTAAACTTGTATTTTTTAATACAATAATTTCTAAACTTTGTTTTGATCAATTAGTGGTATAGACGATTATGAAACCGTTAAACAAGTTTAGAAATTACTGTGTTCAAAAATACAAGTTTGAAAATAAATAGACGCACTTACAAATTTAGAAATTAATATTATACCAAATTAAAGTTCATAAATTTTAAGGTATTTTTTCCTTTTTAAAACAAAAAGAAATAAAGGTCATGATTATCTCTATATTTTTGTTTCTTTATTTTTCATTTTTCATGTAAACAAGTTACAGTAAAAAAATCTGATACGGATACTTTTATTACGATAGTCATAAATATGGATATAATTAAAAAATAATGTTGCCCCTAGTAAGGCTCGTAGTAAATAAATATATCAGGGGAAAAGTTTATTAAATTACAATATCTTCTAACAACCAAAAAATATTTTTTTTGAAATATATACACACATTCGTGAATTAGTATATACCCTTAAACTACAAAAATATGTATATTATATATATATATATGCATGCAATCGTACACTTTGGATTCTCGTTAAGGGTTTATAGAAAATTTAAAAGTTAATGGGCTTTTATGAGAAGTAACAAAAGTTAAGGGTTCTTTTATTGAGTTCTCCCCATTATTTTCTCTCTTAGCTTGCCTCGTTTCACTTCGTCTCCGCCACGCCGCCGTCGCCGGCCGATTTCTGCGTTTTTCGACTGTAAGTATTCAAGCTTTCTCTCTTC